AAAAAAAAAAAAAAAAGTGTCATCTAGCACACTGTCCATTCTCATGCACTGGGTTAATTTATCCCTTAGTTGTTGCAGAGAGATCGGGTCCACAGTCTCCCAAACAAGTGGACAGCAAAGACTAAGAGAAATGGTATGATTTCAGGGCTCCAAGAAGATCAAAACCTCTCACAGAATTCAAGATTCTCTGGAGCTAAGACCCACATTTATTTAGTTATCAGAACAATAGAGGGGGGATACTCAAGAAGGGTGGAAACTACTGAAGGCCTTCTCCAAATAAAGCATTATGTGAATTTAGGAGAGCTATGTTAACTCCAGGTAAGTCTCCACCCAGGAGTGAGATGCCTGAGGCTGTAGTCTTTATCTAGTTGAGGTTGGAGTCAGGTGTCTTTAGCTGTCCCACCTTGCCTTATCCTTTGAGGCTTCACAGTTTCACCTGCCCTTAAGGGCCTCCATGGGGACCAGTGACTCATAGGGGTTCACTCACTGTGAGTCTGCTGCCCATCTCCAGACAAGGGACAGAGGCATTGCACAGACTGAAAGGTTAACATGGAAAGACAATTGATTAAGTCCTGCTCAGAGCTGCTTTGGAGTGGTCTGCATAATTCATCCACAACACTGCCTGGACAACTCCCATGGACCTACTGGGCTGGGCTGTCTTCTCAGTGCTCAAGAGCCAGTTCCACACAGTGGATGCAGAGCACCCGACTCATCACCCAGATGAACACAGGACAACTACAAGGTAAGGTGCTGAGGGAGAAACACTGTGTGGATAGGGCAGGACAGCCAGAAAGGTCATGCAGAGAGAGGGCTGGGAGGGTGCTGGCTAAGACTGGGGAGGGGACTGGCTGGGTCCCAAAGGCAACAGAGGCTTTTAAGCTAGAGGACTCAATCCACTCTGTTGTGAAAGTCTTCCAGCTGCCTGGAAGATGGACTGAAAAGGGCTAGGGAGATAGTTGAGTAGAATAAGTGCTTGCCTGGCAAACACAAGGGCCTGAGTTCAATCCCCAGTTCCACAAAAAAAAAAAAAAAAAAAAAAAAAAAAAAAAAAAAAGATGGACTGAGAAGCAAGAGTGGCTCCTTGTACAATACACAGAAGTCCAGAAAGAAGGCTGAGGTGCTGGGACTTGTTGCCAGGAGGGTGGGCATGGGAAGAAGGGGCTGAAGGCAGCTTCGCATGGGCAGTAGGCTTGAGGTGTGGGCAACGCGATGGGAGTAAGGGAGACAAGGCTGGGTGTATAGGAGAAGCGCAGTTTGAGAGTTTGAACTCCCCTGAGTAGCTCAAGCATTCTGCAGCCTTCACAGTGCTTTCCAGAAGCAAAGATGTCTTCACACACATCATACTCTACTGCTTTGCTACAGAAATTTGAATTTATAAGGAAAACAGAATCAGACTAAATATAGAAAGCATCTAATGCTGCTAGATGAACACAGTAAGGTTTAAACAGCTTGGGACAATCTGAGTTCCTCACACAGATGAAGGGACCAGTTATTTCTGAGATGCACGGTACCCTGCGGCAGGTGCTTTCACATTCGGGGCTGCACGCGCCACTGTACACACATGCCGTGCAGACTACAATCCTACAGAAGGCAGCATCACCTCTTTCTCTAGTTGCAGAAAGTGAGATTCAGAGAGGGTAAGTGGCTGGCCCAAAGTTTGGGAGGCGACAAGTGGCAGATTAGGGCTCTGTCTGTCCCTAAGCACCACCTCTCCTTCCACCTCCAGTGCCTTCCTGGCTGACAACCCCCTGGCCCCAGTCTGACCAAGTCCCAGTGGCCCCTTCTCCACACATCCTGCCTCCCATCCCAACCAAACTCTGAAGCTCACAGCCCATCATTATTCCTTCCTAGTACTCATCGTCCCCGTCAGAACATTTATGTTTTGCCATATTGCATACCTATTTATGGATTTTCTGTATGCCTAACAATAAGCTACCCCTTGCCCCTTTTCAATACTGGAGATTGGCCCCAGGCTCTCACACTGAGCTACACCCCCAACTAGTTTAAAAAATTTTTTTTTAATTTTATTTATTTATGTGTGTGTGTGTGTGTGTGGCCAGCTCAGCCCACCAGGGGGCGGGGCCGGCTGGCATGTGGTGCTGGAGGATTGAACTGCGGTCCCTCTGCTTTGCTAAGCTTGTTCTAAGTAGGCGCTTTAGACCACTGAGCCATCTTACCAGCCCAGTTTTTTAAATTTTTTATTCATTTTAATGAGAAAAAAATAGCAATGAAACAATTTCAAAACAGGTTAGTAGGACAATTACAATAATTAATACATTGCATATTGTCTTCATAAGTTATTCAGAGAACAAGATGCAGACACATCTTGTCTAAACAATATTAGTACAAACTTTTCTTCTCATTGAATAGAAGATAGCTATATATCCTATTTCACTACAAAATGGTCCTTTATTTATATCCCCCTTTTTTGTTTTGTTTTGTCAGAGATAGGGGTTCCATTGTTGTTAAGAGACCAACCAGTTTTTTATTTATTTTGAATAGGTCTTCACTAAATCACTGAATTTCTCAGGCTGAGCTCCTACTTGTGATCCTCCTGCCTCAGCCTCCCAGAGTGCTGGGATTACAGGTGTGCATCACACCTGGCTAACTGCTCACCCTTGAAGTCAAAGACTTTATGTTTACTAGAGGTGTTTGTGGATTTAAAACTATATATTAAACTGATTCAACAGGTCCAAAAGTTGGTAAATAAGGCTGAAACAATGCATCTGTATACAGCCACAACCATGGCCATCTTCCCCACATAAACACAAATGCAGCCATCTGTCCCCAAACCATAGAACAGATTAAGTTCATAAACCAAGGTATCACTGTAGATTACTCATATTTTTATTAAATTTTTTCTTGTAAAATAAATACCAAGTTTATACATACACACAAGTATTTTTATATAGTTCATAAGTTTCTCTTCAGGCACATAGTAAAATCTGTACCTGCACGCAGAAAGAATTCTGAAAAATAGAATAAAATAATATTATACATAATTTTAGAATGAATCTTCTAATTACAGTTTTAAGACTTTTTTTTAAACTTTATTTGTGTGTGTGTGTGTGTGTGTGGCCAGCTCAGTCCACCAGGGGGCGGGGCTGGCTGGCATGTGGTGCTGGGGGATTGAACCGCGGTCCCTGTGCTTTGCTAAGCTTGTTCTAAGTAGGGGCTTTAGACCACTGAGCCATCTCACCAGCCCTAAGACTTTCATAGACATCTTGCATAATCATTTCATAAAACCCATATTTACCTTCCTGTATGCCAAACTCAAAGACTCATGTAATGTTACAGCTAGAAATGAACTTAAAAATCAAAGAAGGGATGAAGAGAGGGTAGAAGAATGGGGGGAGGGGAATCAAGTTATATCGTGCACAGGTACAAATTCCCTACAGTGGATGTGCTCATTATGTATACTTAAAATGTGCCAATAAACTTGATTAATTTAAAAAAAAATCAGTCTACCAAAAAAAAAAAAAGTTAGGGGGCCGGGGTGATGGCTCAGTGGAATAAGCGCTTCCCTGGCAAGCATGAAGACTTGAGTTCGATCCCCGGTTCGCCAAAAAAAAAAAAATCAGTCTAGTGCCAGATGTAGTGGCACATGCCTGTAATCCAGCACTAGAGAGGCTGAGACAGGACTGTTATAAGTTTGAGGCCAGCGTGGGCTACACAGTCAACTGGACCAGTCTGAATTACATAGCAAGATCCTGTCTCAAAAGTCACTCAGTCCAATTCTTCGACTTTGTAGTTGAAACAGATTTAGGGTATGGAATGCTAGCGACCTCTACATAGGGCTACACAGTGTCGGAGAAGACTACTGTGCATGTCTTCCCAAAGTGGACTCTTAGCAGACTGCACTGCTATTCACTCTGCTTTCCCCAGCTCTCTAGTAACCACATGTGGCCACGTGACTATGCAGTAGCCAATGAGATGGAAGCAGAAGCCTATGGCCTTTCAGGAAGTCTCCTTAAAGGGAGACTTTCCATGCTCCCTGACTTCTTTCTTCCCCTTACCTGGAAAGGAGGCTGGGTCCCTGATGACCTCAGGATGTCACCATGGCAGCAGTAGACAGCCTATTCATCTTATTTGAGGAAAAAGTTGTGTGTTACTCAGGCTGCCACTATGGGTTTTCAGCTCTGAGCTGACAACGCTGATTAACCCACCTTGCTGCCCCTTTCCCCTGTAAATCTGCTCCTGTCTCAGCAAGTGACATTCTGTCCCACCAGCTGCTTGGAGCAAATACCTCAGAGTCAGTGCTAATGACTCTCTCACACCCCACAACCCTTCCACCAGCAATTTGTTAACTGTTCCTTCACTGTAGGCCAAATCTGCCTGTTTCCCTCTCTTTCCCTGTCCTTGTTCTGGTCCTGGCCACCATCCTCACAGGACGGCAGCAGCACCATCCTAAATAGCTCCCTGCATTCACTTCTGTCAGCCATCATCTCTTCCCCCAGCCTGTGTTCCGCAGAACAGCCAGACTGAACCTTTAAAAGGGAAAGTTAGCCCAGCTTCTCCTTTTCCTCAGAACTTTTCAATAGCTGTGCTCATGGGGATGGAGAGCAAAGTCTTTCCTAGAGCTGCTGCCTGCCAGGGTCCCTGCCTAGTCCTCTGACCTCACACACAGACACACACACACACACACACACACACACACACACACACACGCCCCCACACACTCCATCACACCACCTCCTCTTCACTACCTGGGAGCTCACCAGCTCCTGCCTGAGGCTTGTCTGTTCCCAGAACCCTTGAACCCCCCCATACCACACATATTTCTCCCTTAGCCTCCTCAGGCCTCTGACTGTGGCTTATAGGGGAGATCTTCCCAACCATCCTCCTAAAGTAAAACTCCACTACCCTCTCTGCATTTGTTCCTCAGCACATTCGCCACATGGCCTTTGCTGGTTTGTCATCTACATCCATCCCCCAGAAGGGTAAGCTCTCTTTTTTTTTTTTTTTTTTGCGGAACCGGGGATTGAACTCAGGCCCTTGTGCTTGCCAGGGAAGCACTTATTCCACTGATCCATCTCCCTGGCCCCAGAAGGGTAAGCTCATTTCCTTTATTCACTGTTTGGTTCTCAGTGCCCACAAGAGGGCCAAGAATGAGTGGGTCCGTGAGTGCTAAGCTGGTGTCCTTGAACCAGTTCCCATGGCCGCTAATTAAAATCCAGGTGTAAGTATATAGTTTATAAAGCCATTTGCTCTGAGTTGAAGTGTTGCTGTTGGATCTACTAACTGTCGCTGTGACAACTTACTAAATATTTGCTGCAGACGAAAATAAGTCAACTTCACCTTACTAGTTAAGAAAATATAAACAATTTGGTTTTCTATTCTAATAAGTCATGATTAATAACAATTTTAAAAACCTTGAAATGAGAGATGGAATACCATACAAAGCCTTTTCTTACTGTTCTTAGTGAAGAGGGTCAAACAGACCATGTATTATTCAGTGAGAAACACAGTAGTCCTCTCAGATCTTTCCAGCTTTACAGAAAATCCTGATGATTAATTTTAAAACATGAATACATAAACATCTACTAACAGATTTATCTTTTCATCCACAAACTATTTCTTTTCAAAGTTAGGAAATTTTCAGCTGGCCTTATAAACTGAAGTAACAAATCTTTAAGTAAACTTTATTTACTAATAAGGCTTAAGCTCAGAACATTTCTGGAGACAATGTATCATTAATATTTGTTTCCATCTGGAGAAGGAACAAAGCCTGACAAACACCACAGTTCCCCTGGCTCAAAGAAAAACAAGAGGCAGTCTAGCTTCTTCCAGCAGATGGGGGCTGAACCTTGCAAGGGAAAGATCATCAAGCTCTGAAGTTGTGCTTACAAAAATACATACTCCTCTCATACTTTTTTTTTGTGGAACCAGGGATTGAACTCAGGCCCTGAGCTTATTCTACTGAGCTATCTCCCTAGTCCGTTTGTGTTTTTGAGCTGCTGAAGTACTTTTTAGGGGAAAAAAAAATCTCTCCAAAAAGTGAGGGCCTTCCTTTGACTGTAGCTCTCCCTATATAGGGTATATCTCCCCTAACTCTGCCTCAGGTTCTTCCAAAGTAAACTCACATCATCTCTGCATATATTTTGTTTTGTTTTTTTGTTTTGTTTTCAGAACCGGGGATTGAACTCAGACCCTCGCACTTGCCAGGCAAGCGCTTATTCTGATATGAGCTGTCTCCTCAGCCCCAGGTAGAACTCTTTTTTTTTTTTTTTTGGCAGAACCGGGGATTGAATTCAGGACCTTGCGCTTACCAGGGAAGCGCTTATTCTACTGAGCCATCTCCCCGGCCCTCACATCATCTCTGGAAGACAGTTGTCACAATAACACATATAGAGTGTGTAACCCTACATAGGGTCCCACATAGTATTCAATGAACAGTAGCTGTTACCACTCCATGAGCAATTATCTCATCTAAAAACACTGGCACTTTTTAAAGTAATATACACAAATAAATCATTTGTAAAGCACTTGGAAAACACAGAAAAGTGTGGACTTAAAATTCTTCCATAGCACTGTGCATAAAATCTTCCACAAACAAAAGAGATGCTATGGACCACACAATTGTTCCTCTAACAACTTCAAAATAGTGACCTCTGCTGGCCAGTGAAAAACAGGAGCCCTCCAGTCAACTTCCATGATTGAGCAAGGGTTGAGTCAACCAGGCTTGGGTCCCCGTTTCTGGAGCAAAAACCAGGTACTACATTACAAGGGACAGAAATCCTCACAGGGGTTACCACGATGTAATTGGGATGTTAACAGAATTAAGGCTGGCCTTTCCATTTGCTCATCCACTCAGAAGATTATTTTTTCAAACTCCGTGGTCTCCTATTTTTAAAATGCCATAATTACATGCAAATGTTATAGCAGAAAAACAATGCAAAGGGCATTAAAAATCAATCTTCCATGTAAGCCTCAGATTTTCCAGCATGAAGATCCAAAAGCAGGAGTGGTGACAAATGTGTAGAAAACACAGTGAAAGAGTCAGAATGCATCATTAAGAATGTTACAACAAGGGGGTGGGGCTCACGGGGAGCATATGTCTCATTTAGCTGGAATAACTAACTACAAAAAAGGTTTTTTTAAAAAACCCTGCAAACTTCTGATAAGACACAGACATTCAATTAGGAAGCAGCCTAGACTCCTTTCTTCGGGCAAGTAAAATGCTAATGGAAGAGGCTGCTCCAGGGTCTGTTGGCTAGGATCTTCAGCTATAAAACACATTCCTACCTCCAAAGGTGTGAAATAAAAAAAGGGTCGCAAAATGGCAGCCACAGGACTGTGTAGTTTGGTTTGGCATATGCTGTATTTTTTTTTTTTTTAATCAATGCATTGCCAGCACTTTAAAAGTGGAGATTTCATATCAAAATCCAGTTTCTGCTTCATAAGCAAACAGCGAGAGCTGGCCATCCTGGGCCTGCACACTGCTCAAGTAGCAGTCAGCTATTGCCACGTGGCCACAGGCTCCCTCCTTTGCTGCAGCCCCCCAACATACACTACTGACCTCCCTAGTCCGCTTGCTACATCCCCTGCCTCTATGAATGTCTGAGACCCTGGGTCAGCACCAACCCTAAGACAGTTATGATAGTCATTCAGTCTGCACCCACCAATATGCATGTAAAGGAACACATTTCCCTCTAAGAATGCCATTAGTTCTGTCACATCAGCTTCTATGCTTATATCTACCGATGATTTCTTTGACCAGAGGATTATTTAAAAGTTATTTAATTTCAAAACTTATCAACTGATGGGGCTGGTGAGATGGCTCAGTGGTCTAAAGCACCTACTTAGAACAAACTTAGCAAAGCAAAGGGACCACGGTTCAATCCCCCAGCACCATATGCCAGCCAGGGCCGCCCCCTGGTGGGCTGAGCTGGCCACACACACACACACACACACACACACACACACACACTAAATAAATAAAAATTAAAAAAAAAAAAAACACACAAAACTTATCAACTGATTGATTTCTTTTTTTTTTTTAACTTTCTACAAAAGTACGTTTGTTGGGGGCCAGGGAGATGGCTCAGTAGAATAAGCGCTTGCCAGGCAAGCGCAGGGCCTGAGTTCAATCCCTGGTTCCGCAAAAAAAAAAAAAAAGTACGTTTGTCCTGGAAGATCCGGAGCAGCTCCATGGCGAGCCACTCATAGGGGACGAAACTGCACACCTCCGGGATCATGTCCTGCATGAAGCTGGTGTGTTTGGTTTGCTCACATTCTTCACCTTGTGGCTCTTGTTGAGGCCCACGGCCATGGGATAGCGTGCAGCCATGGCTACGGGTCTTCAATGGTTGCAGTAGCAGAAGCTGAATTACCATTTTTAATTGATCTCTACCTTAATTGCCTTACAGACTGGCCTATGTATGGACAGATTCACAAACATTCAACATAAGCTTGAAAAGAATGAAGTACCCAGAAGATCAAGTCTGCTGTTTACACCATTCAAATATGCTGTCTCTACTGTCTTGTGTATTTAAGGCAATGTATATAAAAGTACACAAATTTTACACACCTGGTTCAGTGTGTTTGATATGAATACACCCATATAATCTAAATGTAGACATTTCCTCAGAAGCATTTCTCATGCCCTCCCAAGAAAACATTCCACCTTTCCCCACACCATTCTTTTATTTATTTATTTATTTTTTGTTCTTGAAAAGTACACACAAAGGCAATCACATATACATACATATTCCTTTGGGTCTGGCTTCCTTGCTTGATATCATGAGTTTCTTTCCTGTTGCTACATATAGTGATAGCTCACTTTTTTGACTGCAACATAATGCTCCATTGTTAAAGTAAAGCATATTATGTTTACCCATTCTGTTCATTCACACTTGAATTGTCTCCTATCTGCAACTACTGTAAAAAAATTCTGCCACAAGAAACATGACTTTTGGAGCATGTAATGGGCATACACCAAGTTAGTGGAATTGACAGACCTAGGGGAGGCACATGTCCTCTCATGCCTTCCAGCAATTATCTGAATTAAATTCCCCACATCTTCATCACCTGTTAGGCCTTTTTATTTTTTGCAGAACTGGGGATTGAACTCAGGCCCTTGTGCTTACCAGGCAAGCACTTACTCTACTGAGCTATCTCCCCGGCCTGTTTGGGCTTTTTAATCTTTTGCCCTTCAGGTGGTACGTAAAACAGTATCCTAATGGTGTTGAATGCTTACTTCCATTAAAAGCCATCTGGATAAATTCCTTTCTAAAATGTCTGCTCTTCTTTGGTCCACACTGCTGTACCTTTTGTACTGTGGTGCTGTTTTTTGGTGCATTAGTTTGTCCAAGACACAGGATGCTACCAGATTTATACCTGACTCCATTTTACCGGTCTCTTTATTTCCAACATATCTATCCCTGTTTTAGATGCCTCACATTAGTAACAAATTGAATTTTTATATTCAGTTTATCTTTGCTTCATACTTGTAACGTTTAGCCTATGTAATATAATTACTGATGTATTTGTTTTAAAATGTCTTATTGTGTGCTTTATTTATTTTTTGCAGAACGGGATTGAATTGAGGCCCTGGCAAGCGCTTATTCTACTGAGCTATCTCTCCAGCTCCATGTGCATTCTATTGGTCCTACCTGCTAGGTTTTCTTTTGCATTCATTTTGGTTATTCCACTTCGGAGTCTTTATTTTTTATGTATTTAGTACAGCGATCATCCTGTTTTCAGCCTCCCAATCCCTGAGATTACAGCGCGCCACCACACTCAGTCTGAGTCCCTGGCTCAGCATGCTCCAAGGGCAGGGCCGGCAAAGCACCCCATCCCTGCTTCTGCCCAAGCAGACACTTCAGTCCACTGAGCTATCTGGCCAACCCTTCTTGTCTTAAAACTTTTACTATTATTTTAATGGTTATACAATTTATATCTTAAGCCTATTATTAGTACTTTTACTCTTCCCAACAATATAAAGATCTCATCTTTTAACTCCTAAATACTGACATACCTGCTGTGATGCACTCTAATTCTCTACATTTAAGGCCTCATGAGTTGCAAGTCAATACTTGCATTTACTGTT